TTTCCAAAAGCTCTTTTCGGGCGAAAGGCCCTAGAAATAGCTCATGTCCTCAAAGAGGCTTCACCATGGTCACCTCTCTTCCTCCTTTTAAGAACCTCTCTCCAAAGTCAGGAGTTCTCTAGTCTGGCATTGATAACCCAGGAGGTGTCAGGGACAGGGTCCCTTCAAGTTCCTCTCTGTTGACCTTTCGAAAGCCCCAGCCATTTGGGAAATTACTGTTCAAAATTCAGAATTCTTAAAAATAATTTCAGAAAGCTCGGTAGCTTTTGAATAACACTTTAAGTTGAGGGGTCTTATATCCCAAGACTCCCACCCACACAGGTCACATCCTCTGACCCTGGAATGTAACTCAGCATGTCTCTGAAACCTCAGTGATAGCACATTCTTGACTGTCTATGAGAATTCCTGGTGATTCCTGTCTTTTAATCAAATACCCAGGAACTTCCTCAAGAGAATGGATCTGAATAAATTTGTTTCCCTAAGAGGATTCGTACTTGCTTAGTTAGGGACTTGAGAATAATCTAAACAAGGAAACACAGACAAGAGCCTTGAAACTCTCTTGATAATTAGGCCTCTCATCAAAGTTCTTTAACAGAGTACTGAACCACCTATTCCAACCCCCACAAAGCACCACAGGGGTCCAATGTAAGGAAGGTTAAGAATTACATCTTGAGGCCTCAGGACTCCTCCTGTGGGTCTGCAGACTCTGACTCAAACCTAATCCACCTTTCCTCAAGGCAGAGAAAGGACTGGTTCACAAAACAATGTTACAAGGACTCAGGATAGCAGGGAAGATGTCTACTCAACCAGAATCTATAATATACCCAAATCCTAATTCTGTTTCTCAAGAGAACTCTTAATGTTCATAAAGCCCGTGCCAATATTTCTCCTCAGGGTTCCTGAAGAATAGATGATCCCAGATCTGTTGTCTTAGATCTCAGAGGCCCCAGTCTTTCAGCAGTGTCTCCCAAAGCATGAGATACTACTGCCAAATGGATGACTTTAGTGTAAGGTGAGGGTATTAAATAGCATTAACATGCAAATCCTTCTGACATAGTAGAGAAAAAGTCTTTAATATTTGGTTAACACTTGCTAATTTCCCTACTTAACAATGGAAAGGTAGGCTCAGGATCAAAACACACAATAGGACTTAGTTAAAGTTAATTACACCATTTTGTTTGCACCAGGCTTAAAATTTTTTTCTCTTTAGGGCAAGTGATATTGATATTCAAGTAAATACAAGCATCATCTTTCCAATTTTAAGGAAAAAAAGTGTTTAGTTGTTTTACTATTAGGTTAAACAGTACAGGCAGTATAGAGACCTGGGAAAAACCAAGAATTTACTACTCAAATGACTAAAGTTTGGGCAAGTCTAATCTAGTGCTAAAAAAACAGCTCTATACTAGATGAGGATTTGAATTTTTGTCCCTTAAACATGCAAGACATATACTTCTGCATAACCACTCTATCTGACCTTCTAATAATTTTAGAATTTGGGGGTGGGGGGTTCACTCTTAATCCACATAATATCCTGCCATAACCCATATTTCCTACTTTTACTGCTGGCCCCCAACACCAACTTTACCTAACAGTTATCACCATCTTGTGTGTGTCTGAGAGGAGGGAGAGTCATGACAGTCATAGAAAGTGACACTTTCCAACAAGCTCTATGTTACCGCTTTTTACAAAGTTCAGACCTTTCTTGTACATTTTCCAAACCTTCACTCTGAATACAATAACTCACTGGCTACCATGGAAAATGTACATCAACACAGTATAGTAGAAAAAAAAAGACTAGGAGTCTTAAGACAGTAGTTCTAGTCCCAGGTCTGCTTTAACTAGGTTGCTTCTGTAAATTTACCTCATCTCTGAAAGCACCTGTGACAAAAGGGAATTAAACCAATTGTGGTTTTTTTCAGATTTGCTGGATTATATTCAAAGAAGACTTCCCAGGTTGTCCAGTCTAGATATAGACAAAGGTTAATGACCAGGCAGGACACCAGTCCCACAAGAAGAAAGAGGTCCATTTCACATTCTATATCAAAATTGATCCTCCCAAAACTACATACGTATCAATAAAAATAATTAATTTTTTTCAAAAGTTAATCCTGCTCCCATTTTGCTTGACTGTCTGGGGAAACTTAAAAGGAGACCTAGACATTCCTTCTCTCTTCAAGGAAGTCATGGAGTTTAGACTCTGAATGCAAGGAAATAAAAATGGCCAAAGGAAACAGAGCCGGCTGAGCAGACCTGGGCAGAGCTGCACTGCTCTGAAACTCAAGACCTTTCAAAGGTGGGAGACTCAAGGGTTGAACTTCACTGTGTCTGTCCTCATGGTCTTCTGAAGTAGAGAGATCACAGGCTGATGCAGTGCCAAGGACACTAGACTGGGACTTAAGGGCCCTCTTAGGTGTTTATGCTAGCAGCAACTAGCAGTGTGGCTAAAGTCACTTAAGTCATTTAATCTCTCTGGTCTTAAGGTTCCTCGTTTATAATATTAAGAAGGCAAACTAGCGCTAAGATTATATAATTATGCTCTAAAATGCCCACAGTCTAACATGGGGGTCAATAAAATTTGTTGGCAGCATTATTTACAAAAACCAGACTTTAATACATTGACTGCCACACTAGAAAAAAAATTTTTTTCTTTGGGGCCACAGTGTTTTATTACAAAAATAGCATAAAAACTTTGAAAACAAAATGATCCTTTCTAATTTAATGAAAAATTTGTTATTTTTTGTTGATTTCTGTGTGTGATGTATATGCAGTTAAATTGTCAATATTAATTGTAACAATAAGAACATCAACAAGTAAGATTTTCATGAACCAACTGCAGTTACGTATGTTTCATAAGGCCCCGGGCTCAAAACTAGCATGAGTTAAATACAACTCACATGGCTGCTAATGTGTTAAAAACTACTTTATTTGATTTTTAACACTACCTAACCTAAATATATCTATTATATCGGGTAAAAGTAAATAATAGGGTAGAGGAGTGAAGAAGACATAGGAAGAACTACCATTATGAGATCTTCCAACTGGGGAGTAAAGGAGGTCCTCACTATATTGAAGTCAAACAATCTCTTTGATTCTAACTCCTTTCCAGCAGTTTGCTTCCTCCAGATATGAAATGCCATTTTCAGTGTACTTTAAGGCAAGAAAAAAAAATCAACATTATCGTCATCTTCCAACTCAGCCTGGAAGGGCTTACCTGCATGCACCAACACAAAGCCTCCTCGTTTCTCTTTATGGGACTGCTTTGTTTCCAAATCTTTGGCTGTTATTTTAACAGCTGAAACCTGAGATGATCTGGAAGGCAGTCCTTCTCCAGAACTCATCCCCTTCTCCATGGTCATTCTCCAAGATTACCATCTTCTATTGGGAAAAGGGCATACTTCCATCCAAAAGTAACTGCAGGAGAGGAATTACCCTAGAGGAAAACAGGCAAAAATGATATATATTTCTTTCCACCAACACACACATTATGTAACAAATTCATGCAAAGATAACTTTCAAAAATCCTATTCTTAAAAGTTATTTAATTATGTAATACAAAGAAGGTTTTAAAGTTATTGTTAAAGCAATTAAAGTTTTAAAGTTATTTAACTGGGTAATATAAAAAAATTA